CCCTAACTACACCCTAAGCCGCCTTAGCAAAGCAACAAGGCACCCTAAAAAAAAAAAACTCAAAGCAGGAAAGTACGTGACGGTGTCGTCTGGCGGCCTCCGGGCCCGACATCGAGCGCCGGACATGGAGACCCACGGCAGGGATGAACAAAAACGATATATGTCCTATATATATATAGATATGTACACAGTCTATTTACTACATGTTAGAAGTTGTTGTATATTATTAGTAGTATATAATATTAGAGTATAATGTTGTGTGTGTATATATATATATACACCATCCAGGAGGTATTATAGCAAGCTCGAGGGACTTGTAAATGAGCACCCCGAATCGAAGAGATACCGCCCATGCCGTAGATGGTGCAAGCAAAGACTCTTGCAAGGCAAAGTGCAGATTGCTTTGCTGGCTCCCCTGGATTATCAATCACCTTAAAATCCGGAACCCGTCAACCCTACGCCAACTATCCCTGCAACCCGACACCGGTAAACCACAAGCACTAGTGAAGACTCCGACATTTTCGAGACCATGACCTGCTCAGGATGTGGGGGGGCTGCCTCGGAGTATCGGCGCTCAAGGAGGAGACACCGAGGGCTTTCGTGCTTCGGTTTATGGTGTTGAAGGTTTCAATTCAGACTGAGACGGTGTTGTTAGGGATTTTGGCGGGTTAAGGGCTTCGGGTACTTGTGGATTTAGTTTTCAGTTGCTAGGGATTCACGTCTTTGACATGAGCGTGGGTTCACACACAGCGGCTCTAGTATAGCGTTTCAGGGGCTGCTGCCGGATTTGGCTCAGGGCCTTTGTTGCCTCGGGTTGGCCTTGAGCCATGATCGGAAGAAGACCAAAGCATGAGCAGATGATCGGTAGCAGTCATTGGCACACCACGCCGCCTTTGTGCAGTCGCCAGACCATGGTAGCAACCGCGCAACCCCAGTCTAGAGCCTGGAGAAAGAGGATGACAGAGGTCAGAGGCTGTTTGCCATTCAGAAATCCATGTTCGCCTCTGAGGAGTCGCATGGGTTCTACTTCGAGGTCCGCATTGACGCAGTGACAACAGGCAGCACCCACAAACCCAGAGATGTGGACATGCTGGCGTGCATGCAGAGTGTGATTTGGCACTGTTTTCTTGCCTACCAGGTCCTCGCATGCGGCGGGTACACAGAAACCTGAGTTGTCTGGATGGCTGTTGTCGCAGGTAGTCATCGTCATATCCGGCTGTTGCATTCGGAGCTGTCCAGGCATCTACGTCCGAGTCTAATGGTCCAGAGCTGCTTGCCGTTTTATTTGCCCTTAGCCGCGATTCAAAGCAAACAGCCTTTCGGGTCCTTTCTTCTTGATTTTCGTGCTCCTGCGAGCAGGTGCTGGGGTCCGATAGAACAGGCCCTTTCTGGGACGCAGGCATCGTGCTTTTCTGAGTTGTGTGAAATTATTGTCAAACAGGCTGTGCACAGGCGGCCTACAGCAAACGAGAATCATGCAGAGAAAATAAGCCTATCATTGTTGGGGCGCTATAATCACTTAAAGACGACATCGAAGATGCTGTTTGTTTTGCCACGGTCTTTTCCGCAAGCCTTTGACAAATTTGCCACAATCTCCTTCCTTGAATTAGACTTTTGAGCGATGGCTAGCCCCAACAGGCATGCCAGATGGCCTGGCCATCGGCGTGACCACGGATGTCCCAGATGAGCTTCGCGAGGTGTCCTGGGCCTTTCTTGTCTAGGCTCAAGGTACACGTGCTAAAGTCGCTCCTAATTCCTAAATAGGCAAAATCCTCAATCCTCGTTGCCTTGGTGCAAAATGGTGCAGCCTGTAGTTAGAGCTTGCCTCGGGACCAGGTTTGCCAGACAACCGCGACGCGGCTTCGTCACATGTCACGAGACGAAAGCACCCGAGTCTTGTACCAGTACCTTTCCCATTCTGTGATTGGATTTCCAGTTCTGACTTGACCTGAAGCCCGTAAACTTCGGCTTGCTGCCTGCACAAGCTGAAGTCGGCCAACGTATTGCAATAAAGCTTAGAAGCACCTAAAAGGCTAGGTGTAACGGCTGCTTGAGGCCAATTGCGGCGTTGTGAAAGAGCTGTGTCTTGCTCGCAGGTGCCCGAGATACTTGACGCGCTGAAGCAGGTCGGCATCTTGTGATGTGAGTTTCTATTGTAAATTTCAGAGCTTTAAAGCAAGAATTTCAGGGAACTAGGTAGCGAGTAACAAGCCCATAGTCAGCTTGAAATGCCAAGGCTGAAGGCATCAGCCCACGAGAATCTTGATGTTAGCTTGTATTGGCAAGCCCTTCTTTTGGGGCATACGATCTTTCTATCTTGCCCGCTTCTCCTGTCGGAATCCGGTTTCCCGCCCTTTTTGATCAAACATAACAAAATTGAAACAATACAAAACGTATACCCTCAGCTACTAGAGGGTCTGAAATCATGGGTTACTGTAATCGGAAGAGCTGGGGTCTAAGATGCGATGGTTGGCATATTAGACCCTAGGTCGGCTTGGCATGTTAGACCCTAGAACCCCAAACCCTACTAGGCTGCCTTGCCTGCATGTCTTGTTGGTGTATCGCGACTGTTCGCCGGACCCCACCACTCCCACCCTACCACACCGCAGCCCACCCTCAGCCACAGCCCACAGCCCACAACCCACCCCACCCACCCCAATCAGTGGGACTGCATCGCGATGGGTCAAGGCCTTCCCACCGGGCGCAAGGTCTAATCTGCCACCTATGTTGTGGTACACCAACTTTGCATATTAGACCCCGGATCTTGGGTCGAATGTGCAAGTTGGTGTACAGACCCTACAGTAGTTGACCCTATAAAACGTAATGCATGTATGTTTTGGAGTGGCAGGGAATGGTGCATACGTGATTCTTTGGCATGCATCTCTTCCCGAAGTCAGCTCAAGCCTGTGCTCCTTTTCTTCTCCGTGCATGGCTGCTGCTCATGGGGCCGCAGCGGCCGCCCCCCTTGACGCCTCGCAGGTGACGGAGATTCTGGAGCGACAGGGCTATGAGCTGCCCGGGGACCTTGCTGGTTTGTCCATCTCCGAATTGCAAGAGGAGCTGGAACCTCACGGAACTGTAGAGCTCGAAATACTGGAGACCTTACGCCAGCAAGGCTTACGTCAGACGCTCAAGCGGCGTACTGCCCCTTTGTCTTTCAAACAGTTTCTGCCTGGCCCGAGTCTTCATCCGAGTCTGCCCCCCTTTGCAGGGTCACCGGTGGTGCAGTCCAGGGGAGTTACTTCGTTGCGTCCGGCACAGCCCTGCCAGCGACGGACTGGCGCGTCATCAGATCAGGACTCCTTGCTTTCCATCTCCCGAGCTCTGGTTGGGGCAGTTGTCCAACAGGGCTTTTCTGCGCATTGGGCCACTGTAGCTGACTTACCAAGCACGCAGGCTAGACACGACTGGCTGGATGCGTTAGCATCTTCCATTGCCGGGAGGTTTGAGCTGGGCACCATCACAGCTGCTTATCGCATCTGGAGGCGGTTACTGCAATGGCTGCTGGACGAGAAGCTGGCATTGGAACGTCCTGCGCCAACACACCTTCGACGCTTTCTGGCTGCTCAAAGGAAGCGAGGCAGAACGGTTCCACAAACAGCGCTGAGGCAGTTTCAGTGGCTGCAGCAGTACTTAGGTGCGGAGCTGTCTGTCGATTCGCCTCTTTTTGCTGACTTTCGGGCGGCGCGTAACTCTACGTTACCAGCGCAGGCTGAAGTACTGCCCCTCAAAGCCTGGCATCATTTGGTCCAGATTGTCGGGACCTGCCGTGAAGAAGAGACGTGGACTGGGCTGCAACTGTCGGTTGCTTTGGTATTAAGATACATCGTGTCCAGCTTGCGTTTCAAGCACACGAAGAGAGCTGAGTTCGCGCCAGATTTGTCCTCGGCCCGGTCGTTGGTATGGCGCGTCACCAAAGGCAAGGATGGCCAGCCCTTCGCTATTGCTTTGCCGTCCCACCTTCAACCTGCCGTGCCGCTTTTTTCCAAGTTGCATACAGAGATGCAGATCAGGTTTGGCGGTTTGGCGCCTTTTCTTCCCGAAGCATTCTACCGAGATGGCGCAGAGGAGGTCATCTTCGAGATGTCTCCAGCGAAATATTACCGATTCGTTCAGTTTGTTCGTTCACTGCTGCGCTTATCGCCGCTGTCTCTGGACGAGACTGAGTGCGAACAAATCACGACCTACTCATTTCGTCGATTTTTGCCAACCGTGGCAGACGTTCTGCAGCTCACTGATAGTGAAAAGTTGTGCTTAGGAAACTGGAACGATGGAGTTAAGCTGCCCCTGACCGTGCGCTACAGCGCGCAGCGCTTGGAGACAGCGGCGGGCGTGCGGAGGCTGTCCTTGTCAGCCATCCATCACTTGCTCAAGTATGGAGTCGACCCCACGTGGGTGTCGCTGCGTAGTGTGCAAGAGCATCTTCCACAGTTGCGCAACATTGTTGCTGGCTCCTCCTCATGGGGCCGCGGTGCTGAAAGGTTGCCGGCGCCAGAATCGCGCAGCCGCAGCAGGAGCCCTGTGCCGACGGAGTTGGCCACGGATTCTGAAAATCTTTCTAGTGCTACGCACTCCTCCGATAGCAGTGTGCACGCTCCCGCCAAGCCCGATTTGGACTGGCCACGGGATGTTGAAGGGCTATGTTTTGTCATGCCTTCCAGAGGAATTTGGCATGTCGCAGCAGAGCACGGGACTTATTCTCCTTGTTGCTCTACCAAGCAGTTTAAACCTCACGGTGTCTCATGGGCTCGCGGGCACACTGAAGCGACACAAGCAAGTCGCAGGTTCTGCGCGTTGTGTCTCTCAAGGAATTCCTTCCGATCTGCGAGACGCCATTCTCGCCTCCGTGTTGTGAACTGTCGTAAAGCAGCCGAAACGAGGCAGACCGACTGCTCGTTTTTTTTTTTGCGCTGGAGTAACCGCTTCTTGCAACTCTTATGCTTCCGTGCGCATTTAGGCTTCACAGCAAGCGACAGATGTAGTTTCAGTAGGCTTTAGCCATGGCTGTCGGAGTGGAGCAGCTCGAAACGCTTTTGGTTTCTGTCCACAAAGTGGATGTTGAGATCTTCAAGTTGCTCCGTTCTGACGGTCTGGAAAGTGTCGCGGACTTTGTCGGGCTGTTTACAGAAAAAGACTACGAAGAAGGCCTCAAGGACTACACAGAGCGGTCCCAAAACTTCAAAGGGAACAAGATCCAGCTGTCGCGACTCCGAGTGGCGTGGTCCGTCGCAAGGAGAGACTTGAACTCCACGGTGCCCACGGAGAGCATCGACTTTGAAGCACCCCTCGAGCCGGAGTTGCGGCGCAAGCAGGAGAACGAGTTCAAGACCAAGTACAACATCACTTTGCCCCCAGAGTTGTTGCCTGCACCGAACCTTTTCAACCGCTAATTCCGAGAGTTCAGGAAGAAGCAGAAGAGCGTAGAAGACTTGGCGAAGGTTCGAAGCTTCGCGGACGTCAGCCATGTACCGCTGGCTCCTGTCACCAAAGCCATGGGGGATTTCCGAGTGGTGCTCAAGGATGAAATGCCTGACATCTCTTTTCGCGACACTTTGTCTTTGCTCAAGGCTCACGAGATCCTGTGCTTCGCCTGGGCTGTCACCGGCACGGCTTTGCAGACGTCCAAGCTCGGCTCCAACAGCCAAGTGCCGGAATGCTCCTTGACAGAAGCAATCTCTTACCATTCCTTCTGCAAGGAACAGATTCGACTTCACCCAGGTCCACCTGCAGCCGCCATACGATGGTTTCTGGAACGCGACCGTGCTACAAGGTTGGCGGCAGTGCAGTCGTACCAGTCGGGACTCCCTTGGGGCGAAGCTCTGCAGCAAGCTCGTGAGACAAAGACTGCAGTTCTTTGGCAGTGTGCCACCTCTTCGACGGGTGGTGTGCTTCCGCTTGCAGTGGACCCGGATCCAGACAGAAAGCGGCCGCCGCCGAAGAAGGAGGACCCCGCCAAGCGACCTCGCGTGGATAAATCTGGCAAGCAGACTGACTTGTCCACTGGCAAGCTCATTAGCCTAGCAGACCTTTGCGATGATTGGAATTCCACTAGAGGATGTACTGCGAAGCAGCGTGACTGCCCCAAGCAGAAGCTCCATCGGTGCAATGCCAAGGTGGCAGACAATGCGTTCTGTGGAGCGTGGCAGCACAACGCCTGCCGACATCCTACTTCGAAGCACCAGTAGGGACATCTCCCGACCTTGATCGATGCCACCGGTCAAGGGAGGGACCTTTGTCCGCGTGGCCACTTTGAAAGTTCCAGTTTTTCGCGTGATGCTCATGCTGAGGCTGCAAACGCCGTTTTTCGCCTAAGATGCCCTCCAGAGAAGCCAATTTTGGTGGTCAATTTCTCCGCAGGTACAGGTGGGGCTCTCCAAGCCCTAAGGCTGGTGGAAATGCCGATGGTGGGCTTTGCTTTCGAGTCTTGCCCAGACCTGCGCCGGATGTTGCGACATCATTTTCCTCACCTCCGAGTCGATGCTTGCGGAGGACCCGGCCATCTGAGTGCAGCGCGACAGATGGTGTTCCAGTGCTCCAGTGTTTTCATTTTGGAACAGATCACAATCACTGCCCCCCATGTATCTCAGATTTGCCGGGACTGGGCAGATGCGCTTCAGCAGGTCGCATCTGTGCACGACAAGCCTCTTCACAAGCTGTGGTACGCTGCCGACCCCTGCCCAGGTCTGTTTGCCCATGATGGTCTGGGTAGTGCAGACCTCGACGATGCCCCTCCTCTGGTCGTGCACGCTGCGGATTTTGGTTGGGTGCATACGTCATGTTTTGTCTGGGGCATCGGAAGCACAGAGTTTCACGTTGACCTTTCCGGCTTTCATTTTCACGAGAAGGGAACCTTGCATCCAAACGTGCATGTCATCAGATGGCATGGACAAGATTGCCCAAACATTTCGATCGTTCATGGTCAAGCCAGTCAAGCTTGCAAGGCACCGGCAGCTTTGCTCCCCACGTACACTGAGGGACGGCTTGTTTTGCACCACCTGCATCAGGCTCATCAAACTCAGCCATCTGTGCTTCTTGAAGCGTTGCGAGAGAATGGCATTGCAGATGAGACTGCCTGTTGGAGTGATGCTGGGAATTTGGAGCTCTTGATGGGTTATCCTCGAGGATATACAGCTGTGTTGAACTCCTTCAGCCACCAGCAGCGAGTGAGCCTGTTGTCCACTGCGGTTCACGTGCCAGCTTTAGCAGTGTGTTTGTCTGCGATGCTCTCGCACCTGCCACGTCAGCCTGAGCCGGCATGGTCCATGCCCTGGGAGCCTTGGCCGCAGTTTCAGACTTCCTTGGTGGAGGGTCCTTCAGCCAGAGAGTGGTTTGAAGACATTCTGAGCATGCTGCCTCTTCTAGGGGCGTCTGCCGATCTGCTGCAAAGCACGTGGGAGAAGTTCTCATCCCTAGACGTTGAGCCCTTTTTGATTTATGAGAATTGGTGCTTGTCTGAAGGGCGCCCTTTTAAGGGAGGTTTCGAGTGGGAAGTGCTGCGTGCGCATGATCCCACAAGAACTGCAAACCAAAAAAAGCAGGACTTTGCTGAAGAGGTGCCAATCGACAGACAGATTTCTGCACAGGAACATCTGTCGGCTGCCTTGTCGTTGCAGCACCCGTTTGCCCACTCGCCGCTGCTTGAGCAGGACTTGCAGTTTGCCATCCAAAATGCCTGTCAGTATGGCTTGCAAGTAGCTCGACACAGAGATGTAGCTTTCGGCCACTTGCGTAAACTAGCCAGGGCCCTCCAGTCTCTTGATGCACACCTACTTGCTTGTAGACCCGTGCATCATGTTGACGGTCTTCGCCCTGCTATGTTTGCTGCAGTCATATCCATTTTGAGATGGCCTGACAGGGACCTCCCCACGAAGTTAGTTCGCGGCTTCGAGCTTGTGGGTGATATTCCCAGATCTCATATTTTTCGTCCGATCTCATCGCCTCCACAGCCTGCCGTTCCCCTGTTGGGCCAGGACGTGCAGCGCTACGTGGATGGCCTTGAGAAGGACCTCCGCGTCCACCCTCGCGCGGAGGTGATCCTGGAAGAGACGTTGAAGGAGCAGTCGCTCGGCTTAGCCGGTCCGTTTAGGGACAGAGCCTACTTTGATAATTTATACGGCAAAGGAGCATGGCGGCCTTTGAAGCGTCATGTCATCCACCAGCATGACAAAGACAGGCCCATTGACGATGGGAAAGCTGGGCGCCATAACGAGTGCTCACAGCTTGTTGAAACCATAGTCAATCAACACGCTGACTTTCCAGCGGCTGTGCTTCAGTTTTGGGCGCAAACGGCTCTCCGAATGCTCCGCGAGGTTCAGCCAGAGGCTTCGCCTGATGATCTTTTTCGAATTGTTCCATGGCTGCAGATAGCGGTGGGTACAGATGACATGTGGAAAGGTTATAGGCAGCTGCATGCTTGTGAGGCACATGCTCCTGTGTCAGTTGTCACATTTGTGCACCCTCACACCAAGCAGCGAGTGTATTCACAGCTCTATGGCCTCCCTTTCGGGCTTGCCAGTGCTGTGGTCCAGTTTAACAGAGCCCCGCAAGTGCTCACTGCAACTTTGCGTAGGGTCTTGTTCTTGGTGTCTGGCCATTACTTCGACGATAGCACTCAGTTTGAGTACACGTCGTTAGCCAGTCACACCAAAACTGTCTTCGTTCGCACGATGTCTTTGTTTGGAGTGAAATTGGGACATCCGAAGCGCCAGCGCTTGTCCCTCTGTGCCAAATTTTTGGGACTCCTGACAGATGCAACGGAAATGTCTCGCAGACAGGTCGTTCACTTGTCGGTGGCACCATCCACGAAGATTAAAGCAACATGCTTGCTCAGGCAGCTTAGTGACGCTAGTCGGGTCACACCTGCTGATGCAGCTAAGTTGCGCGGCTTGTTCAACTGGCTTGAAGGTACATTCATTGGCGAGCCCTTAAGTGGCGCTTTGTCAGCTTTTGTTGCCCGCCAGTATTGGGAGCAGACTGATGCCATCACTGAGCCCCTCAGGTTGAGCATGAATTACTTGGACGTCGTGCTCAGGCACATGCCGGCTCGCACGGTCCGCATGTTCCCGCGCCCCGAAGCGCCTGTAGTGATTTATACTGATGCTAGCACAGAGGCCCCATGTGCAAGCGCATGCCGCCTAGGCATGTACATAGTTTGCGATGGTCGACATTTTGTTGCTAGCGTAGACGTGCCTGAACATGTCATGCTTTTATGGCGGGAACGCCAGACATATATCAATGTCCTTGAGCTTGTTGCAGTGCCGTTATTGGCCATGTCAGCTCCCCAGTTCTTCCGAGGGCGGGACGTTGTCCATTTCATTGACAACCAAGTGGCTTTGCAGACACTTATCAAAGCTGCCTCGCGTGTGGGTGACATCAACCACATTTCGCTCCTGGCAGGTTTGTGCTTTGCCCAGCTTCACTGCCGGCCCTGGTACTACTGGGTCCCATCTGAGCAGAGCGTTTCAGATCCGCTCAGTCGTCTCGGGTTCCAAGATCCCGCGATTGCTGCTGGCATCACTTGCGGCAAGCTTCAGCCGCTTAGTATCCGCCCTGATTTCTCTGTGTTTCGTGAAGACATGGAGATTGTGAGTACTTTTGTCGCAGCGTTGGGGTGAACATGCATATCAGCGTTGGGGTAGAAAGTTGTTCCCCTCAGACTGCTCAGATTTATTCCTGACCAATGCATTGAAGCCCCGCTGTGAAAATCATGTTTTCTGTGAGGGATAGGGTTATGGATGATCAAAGATGCATGTATGTTTTGGAGTGGCAGGGAATGGTGCATACGTGATTCTTTGGCATGCATCTCTTCCCGAAGTCAGCTCAAGCCTGTGCTCCTTTTCTTCTCCCGCCCATCCCTCCCGCAGAAGACGAGTGTGTTGCGACACACCCAAATGTTTGATCTTCTTGGCCAGGGTTCTCAGGAATTGTCAAGGCCGCGGCCGATACGAGACCCAGGCTACATCGCGATGAGTGCGGGGAGTTCGCGATGCTCGTTGACGCAGTTCTGGGGTAGAAAGTTGTTCCCCTCAGACTGCTCAGATTTATTCCTGACCAATGCATTGAAGCCCCGCTGTGAAAATCATGTTTTCTGTGAGGGATAGGGTTATGGATGATCAAAGATATAATTTACCAGAATATAAGAAGCATATTGCAAAACAATATAATATAGTTTATAATGCAACACAACATAATAGAATATAATACCATAGAACATAGAAGAATTTAGTATGATATAGTATGGTACAGTGAAATATATACATATTTCAACATAATATGATACAATATAACATATTCATAATACACTATATTGTAACATATAATGTGATATGATATGTTTTAGAAATAATACCATAGAATGTGCTTTTACATATGTATATACAAACGAATAGCTTAACACAGGGTTCCACTCAAAAGTGCAGTGACGCCCAATCCTTTCCATTTTCAAAAGCTGTTAACCCCAACCCCGTAAGTATAACACCAGTTTCAAGCGACTAAGGATGGGTTTCGGCCATGGCCTCAACCCGAAGCCTGTAAACAGCAGGCTCAAGCACTCCAAGCCCTGAAGCTTCGACCAGGTTTGGCTGATTGGTTTCGACGGCGTCATGTACGACGGGGATGACTTCATTGAGCCTTCACCTTCTAGTGCGACTATATTATGTTTTTCTTACGCGTCCCCGACCGTGCAAGGAGCAATTGTCGCATGTATCAACACAAGGCCAAACCTCGTTCTGCATTCATCCGTGGTTGTATTGTGGTCTTTGGCATTTGGGCACGAGCACTGTGAGACCGCGGGACAGGCATGGGCTTGAGCCTTGGGTTGTTTTTTGGTTCAAGGATGCAGACTGCGTCGTAAGAGCATTTTAGGGAACTTGTCTTTGAGCACAGCGGCCCATAGAAGCCAGCCGAGACTCCGATTCGTGACGAGAGCGTGTTTTCCTACACATTCACTCGACCAGGATGTAGTTTAAGCCCAACCGGTTGCTGGGTAGCAACACTCAGCATTCGCTTGGCCGTCGCGTTTTACACAGCTGAGGATGTCGATTGGCACCCAGCAGATTTACGGCTAGGCGCGGTGTTTGCCAGCATGGGCAGCTCGTGGCTGAGGGGTCGGTGACATGTCCTTCTTATTGTATGCCGTAGTTTTACACCGCACGATCCCGAGTCTTATGACTATTCACCTGAGGCCAAAGATCACCAAGCAGCGTGCGTGCCCTAAACCCTGCTGCTCTCGAAAAAATCCTGCCCTGTGTAGGCGACCGAGTTGGAGTGCTCGTCACACCTGCAGGTCTGCTCAAGGCCTGCCTGGGGAGCCGGCTGGAGTTTGATGTTTGACTTTTAGAGCCGGGTGGGTTTTGGATCCAACCTCTGTCACTCAAGTAACATGACTTCAGTTCGGAGGGTGCCAGCGATTCTCTGTCTTCAACTTGGGCTGCGGCTCTGTCGGGTTAGGTAGCGGTTAGAGGCTTGCTGCTCATTCCTTCGCGGCTTACGGTGCAGGTTTTGGGACGGAAGTTTCGGGCCGTGGGCTTGAGGTCCTTTAGGTAGCCCTCCAACACTACGACTGCAAGGAAATATTGGAGTGTTTACCACATACGAATCGTCAATTTCAGTGGGATCCGGGACTTTGAATTTGGGCAGCAAATAGCACTACGCTCCAGCCAGAGCATGTGTATGCACCCCTTTGCTGCTGAACGACTCCTAGGGGGTCGTATACGCAACTTCCCTACACCTCACACCCTAAAGCAAACTTAATCATGCCGGGCACTAGCATCGAGCACCAGCGTTTCAAGCGGCAGAGGTCTATGTCAATGGGAAGTGGCGTGTGGACGGCCCGTCCAACGTTGATGTGAGTGCGACCCCGAATGCCAAGCGAGGAGTTGCCTTGTTGCGTATGGTTTAGACCTTGATTTTGAACCGTCATCGAAAAGGGAAGTGGTTCGGAAGATTTTCCAACTCCTCAGGATGTGAGATCGCAGCAACCTGCAAAGGTCGGGCACTTTTCCCGGCAGTTGACCTTATCGGCAACACGGACGGTGTGGAATGGATTCCACAGGCCGCCGAAATGCTCGCTGAGGGGCAGAAGGTGCAGAGGTTTTCGGGATTTCAAGAGCTCTGCTTGGGATCGTTGGGGCGGTTTTGAGTGTTGTCTTGACGAGCCCCTATAGGGCGTAGGCTGATGCAAGGCTGCTGCTGTCGCTAAGCCCTACCCTGTATGCAGACTCGAAGGGACGTCGCACAGCTGATGGTCCCGTTCCGGGAACCCCCAAACCCTAACGCGCCGTCCTGTCCGCCCCTAGCCACATCAAAAGCCTGTTTGCCCTAAAAGGCAAGCATACTACAGAGGCCTGAATGATCACTACTCGTATCCCGGTATACTTCGTATGAGTACCAAAGAAACATGCACCCTAAAACCCCAGGTTACTTACTATTGCCCCTATATTCTGGGCCCCTTCGAGTATAAACTCTTGCAGAACCCTTTAAAGCAAGGATCCCCAGACGTCTATTTACACATTTTTCGGTACATTTCGGTTCCCAGCGCTTCCCAGCGCTCCGGGGAGGCCCGCTGTCCTGCCCATCGGCCATCGGCCATGTCGTGCCCTGGCTGAGGGCTGTACTGTAGGGCTTTCGAGGACATTAAAGCCGGTAAAGGCTTTTAGGGTTTAGGGTTTGGGGACTTCAGGGTTGAGTGTTTAGGGCTTGAGGTTGGTCGCAGTGGCTGAAAGAGATTACAAGGTTCAAAGGGGCTTGCGGTTTGCACGGTTTTAGGGCACCAAGAGGGTTAGGGTTAGGGTTTAGGACTTCGACATTTTACGGGTTTGTCTGAAACGTTTCGGGTTTAGCACTTAGGAGTCAGAGGCATCTAGCAGGACGTAGAGTCCATGGTATTTGCGGGTTCGCCCAACCCCCTTGACGTGCAGACCGGGAGGATCCGCCAGACTAAAGCCTCAAGCTTCCAACCTTGAAAGCAGTATCCTCGTCTTCTCACAAAAATACAGGCTCGTGTCATTATGGAATACGGGGTTCTACAGAAAGAAATCCTCGATCCAGAGATTTTCGCATCTCTCAGTGTGGCTTTGAGGTTTGTTCTTGTCGAGCTTGTCTCTTCGCTGATGTCGGCTATTGGATGGGGGGTTTTCGAGGGACGCAGACCGCAGAGACTTTAAACCTCCCCAAATGCTCAAACCCTTATCGAAGGAGTAATGCAAGGGTTCAGGGTTTCGGGTTATGTGGGCTTTGAGATACTTTTGTTTCGGGTCCTTGCGGCCTACAAACCTCGCTTTGTTCTACGTGCAAACGTCTGGGGAAGGCCTGTGTGATTCCGCTTTTTCTCCGGACTCGACGAGTCTTTGAGCAAGTTGCGTGCCCGCCAACCGCCCGAACAAACGGTAAAACCCTTGATCCAGAACCCTGAAACCCACACCCCTATTTGAGGCGTCCCGAGCGAGGCTTTCACCGCGGCTCTTTGGGATCCCCGGCTTCATTGTAGAACAGCCGTGTTGACACCGATATGGCTTGGGGGCTGTCGGGTTGATTGTTTGGGTGTTGATCCAAGTGGGGGTAGGTTCGTGGGCTCTTCGGGGTGTAGGTTGACGGGCTGCGGAATATTTAGTATTTGTCTTCCAGCCAGGAGTATGCCAAGCTCTGGGGATTTATTCCGCCTCGGAGTTCCCTCCAAGTTAGGCCGTGCAGTCTCTGGACTGCTTGATTGCATTGCGGGTGACATCGCACATCCCAACGTCCAGTCGTCTACCCTAGACCATCCTCGACCCTGAAAGGGTCAGGGAGACTTTAGATCGCTCTGCCACCGCTTGTGAGGAAGAGCCCTTCGTTTGTCTGCCGACGGCTGGTCCGTGGAGCATCAGAGACTTGTCGTTCATTGCAATAGGCTGCGGACTCAAACCTGACCTGCTCTGGGATCCCTCTTCTTTGACGCTTGCGGAAGTCATAGGCTTCTGGACTTAGGGGCGTTGTGTCCAGCCAATGATGGCCCTGCACTGTAGCTTTACCTCTTGCATAGGAAGACGAGAGAGAAAGGAGCGATCCCTGTCTCCTGACCTTAGACGCGAAAGCAGCGAATCCCATTCTCAATAAGGAATGGCGAGTCACTCCACGGTTGCCTGCTAGCAATTGGAGCATTTGGCACTGCATGAGCAGGTGTAGGAGTGTACTCATGTGTACTCTGTGAGTTTCCGTCTGCCTCTAGGTGTCGAGCTTAGAGTTTCGGTTGTTTCTCTGATGTTCGCTTCGACTTCAGTGCTTGGGGGGTTTGGCTCGGAAACGGCCGGTGGGCAGACCTTTCTGAAGCTGTGTCCATCTCAAGGATTAGTGGGCATCTCTTGGGTAGCATGTTCTGGCAATAGAGGCCAAAGGTATGAACAACTCAAGACCACCATCACATGGCTTTCGGGTTTTGGATTGGGGCCCTGAGGTCCGTTTGGCTCTCGGTTTGTGGCTCTTTGGACGGCTACTCCAGCTTCTCGGGGGGCTGAGAGTACAAGGGATTCGGATATTCTGCACTATGGCCGCTGCTGCCTTTAGGCTTCGAGGATTGAATCCCGACCACATCCTACACCCGCACAAACTCTGCATTCGTGCTTATGCCCACCTCCAAAATTGTCGCTGTTTTGTCATGGTTCCTGTTCAAGCATTGCTATCTCTCGCTACAGTCAGCGCCATCGTCATTGTCATCGTCGTCATCATCCCAGTCGTTTCTGCCTTGTTCTAAGTTTAAGCTCAGAGCAGGCACCGCCTTGGGAGCTGCAGCTACGGAGCTCGTGGAGGGAGTTGGGCGTTACTTCGAGGCAGGGGAAGGGGAGGGAGCCTCCAGGGTTGAGGAGTCGAGCGGTCTGCTGGGATCTGCTGGGGTCCCCTTGGGGGGGAATTGCGCGGCTTGAGGTTTCATGAAATCGCTGCAGCAATCTCTCCAGAGTCAGTGACATAGCTCCTTCTTGCTACACGTACAGAAATTGTGCGACAACGCCCTCTTCACTAGCGCCTTCCAAGTCACGAGGCTAGATGCAAAAAGCGTTGACTTCAGACCGGCTGGCATGTATCATGCCGGTATTTAGGAGCTTGTTTGTGCGGCGTTTCGGGCTCGGGCTTGTTTTTGATTGTGTCATAGCTTTTTTTCGATGTTCTTTCTTGCGGCCTCGCTTGGTGAGGGTGAGCACGCACAGAGATCCTTACCATTGCGGTGTCGCACTTCCCTGCCTTTGCCCTGTATAGATTCTGAGATTTTCATGAGGTCGGTGACGTCAGTGAAGGCTTCAGGCGAGTTCACAGTTCTGGCATGAGCTGGAAGGTTCAAGTGCCGTGGGTGATTGGATACAGTTGCTATGCCTTGCAGCCATGCTTGACTCTCCCACGCGTCTCGTGTCGTGACTCGTGGCTGTCGCCCACATGCCTGGGGCCATGAGCCGTGCAATCCGCACGGAAGCTCACAGAAGACATAAGCGAGGCCTCTCGGGACCTCGGAGTGCTTGCACCGAACGTGTGACACAGAATTGGCTCCGATTTCAATTCAGACTTCCGTGAGACATCTGTGGACTTTCCAGTCGAACTTTGAAAAAAAGCTGGCCACAAGAAAGAACATCCCAAAGCCCAGGCTTTGCAAAGGAATCGTATCACAGAGGAATCCGGCACCCGATGCATGGGTTCTGGGTAGAGCTGGCCCGTCAGGTGCACATCGACGAGGTGCTCCGGTTGATGTCTCCAGTGTGATCCGGGGATGTCTGGGGGTGCACTGTCCAGGTTTGCGCTCAGTGTGTTCAACTGAAAAACACATTTGTAAGCGTGTGTCCATAACTACGAACAGAATTAAACGAACAAGCATGTATATATATATATATATCTATAGTATGATTATGTGTATAGATATATTCTTTGTCTGTCTGTCTGCCTGCCTGGCTGCCTGGCTGGCTGTCTGTCTGCCTGTCTGTCTGTCTGTCTGTCTGTCTGTCTGTCTGGCTGTCTGTCATGTAGATGCATGTATGCATACACACACACAAACATCTATACATGTATATATATATATATGCATAGGTATGGAAATTTGTAACATAAACATATGTATCAAGGGTATGTACGCCCACACATGCTCAATCAATCACTCAGCAATCGAACACTCACACAAATCTATCCACCTATTAATCTGTCTGTCTATCTAACTATCCATCTGTCTATCGATCATCTATCCGTCCGTCCATCCATCTAGCTAGCTATCTATCCGCTATCTATCCATCTCTCTGCCTACCTACCTACCTACCTACCTACCTACCTACCTACCTGCCTGCCTGCCTGCCTGCCTGCCTACGTGCCTACCTGCCTACCTGCCTACCTGCCTACCTGCCTACCTGCC